CCTGCCCGGGGCCGCCCCGCGCAGCCTCTCAGGTGAGCCTGCCCACGGCCGCCCTGCGCAGCCTCTCGGGAGCAAGTGGCCCTGGGTCCACCCCACGCAGCCTCTCAGCTCGTATGTGGGCCTAGTGCGTGGAGCTGGCACAGGGAGGGGCGAGGACCCTCTAGGCTGCCCATGGTCCTCAGGCTTAAGTTTAAACTCCTCTGTTTGGCATTAGAGACCTTTCACGACATAGCCCTTGAGGACCTTGCTGCCCTCTTCTGTCCCTTTTGTCCCACCTTTCCCATGGCTTTTCAGCCCCGTCTTCGCACGTGCTGTGTGCACCCCCTCCCCGGTTTCTCCGACTGTCTGTCTCAGCCCAGCTTGCTCCCTGGTCCCAGCTGGGAAGGGGTGTGGCCCAGCCCCGCACGGGTAGGCTGGCACCAGCCTATTTATCGGCTCCCCCCCCCCCGGCCCCGGGCGCCTGGGGGGGGGGGGGGGGGGCTCCTATTTATCGGCCCCCCTCCCCAGGTCCCGGGAGCTCTGGGAGGCGAGGGCTGGTCTCTTCCACTTCCGCATGCCCGCCGAGGCGCAGAAAGGCCGTGTAGGCGTGTGTTAAAAGTTCGTAAAGTAATAGAACTAGTTTTCATAGCGCATGTGATTCATCTGCTTGACACATATTTACAGAGCCTCTGCGCTCCACCAGGTGCTGCGAGCACAGCAAGGAGCAGGGTGACAAAATCCTGCCCCCGTGGGGCTTCCAGCGGGACAGGGAGGCTGTGATGGGGTGCTGTACGGGAGTGGGGACTGGGCAGCTCTCAGGTGAAGGCCTCGGGGATTTAGAGAGGCAAACCAGAGTCACCAGGACTGCGGGCCACGTGTCAGGGGAGGAAGCGCAGCTTGGTCCCCAGTGGTCATCATCTCGCCCGCTTTGCCTTGCCCTGGCCAGGGCCAGCGTGGTGGGAGGCTGGGCTCCATCCGGTCCTGCTGTGGAGTTTGTCAGCTACGGGAGGCCGGGTTTCCTGTTTTGTGGGCCAGAGCTGTACAGAGGGACCTGATTTCTAATTCGTTGTTATTTACCTTTGTTGTCTTTGGGTCCTTTATCTCAGGTGCAAAACCTTTGACCTTCCCTACCTGACTGGGGTGTGGTGCGTGAGTAGCCAGGAAGGCACGGATCTGACCATAAACATTTGTTATAGCAATTTTCTCATTACGTTTCTGTTTTGTTTTGTTTTTTTTGAGGTTTTCACCATAGGGCGTATGCACTAGCTGGAGAGAGAGGGAAAGGGAAAAATCGTCGCCGGGGGGATGGCCACAGTGCAGTCCCTTCTCCATTCTCCTCCGGAGTTCGGGCACACAGGCTCACACGCCCGGGGTGTTTCAAGTTGCAGGCCCGGAGCTTGCGTGCAGCTGGCCACGTGGGGTCCAGTGCCTTCACACCACTTGCCGCCCCCATTTCTCTGGTGCAGCCGACGAGTTTTGTGTACACAGGGCGTAGAACAGATGTCCAAGTCCTCCTGATTATGCGGCCCCTGAAATCAAAGCGAGGCTGAAAGGCTTCAGAGGTAACTTCTGTCCGGAGGCCTTGTGAGGCCTTCAGGTCAGGGTTTTGTTTTTTTTTTTTCTTTTTGGAGAGTTTTTTTTGCTACAGGGCGCGTGCGCTCGCCAGACAGACAGAGAGAGACAGAGAGATAGAAAGCGAGAAATCACCCCCCAGGGGGGATGGCCACATCGCAATCCCTTCTCCTCCATTCTCCTCTTGGGATCTTGGGCGGGCACGCACACGCGCCCGGCGTGAGTTTAAGCCACCGGGTCCGGGACTCCGGGACTCGAACCGCAGTCGACTACATGGGAGTCCAGCGACATAGCCATTACGCTAACTGCTGGTCCCCCAGGTCAGGGTTTTAATCGCGCACACACGTGTGTGTGGGGCAGGGAAAAATCTGATGACGTTGTCAGAGAGAGCATGCACTGGAATCACCCAGCCTTCTGCCTGTACAGCCTGTGATGGGGGGCTCTTTTCGGAGAAGCCTGTTTGTCCGTGTTCCTGGACTGGCAGGAACGGTCGTCTAACTGCAGAGACTGAGATTCCATAAGCCCGGCATTCTCCCGCGAGCCCAGGAGGCCTCGTTCCCACACGCGAGGCAGCCTCCTTGCTTCTCCTTGCCTCTCCATCGGACTTGTCATGCCTAATTAAATGAGATTTGTCTTTAAATGTGACATTTCTGGCATGGTCACGGTTACAAATTTGATTTACCCAATTATATCCTGTTGGAAGGAAGACAGATTCTTTTTGAACCTATTTACAGAACTAATGATCGTAGGAAAGGAAAGGGTCTCGGTAAAAGGCACTTTGAATAATTTTTAGCAATCGCTCTGAGTAGTTTTGTAGACAAAGCCAGTTACATATGTTGTTTTCAATAGAATTATTTAAAGTGTTTCTCAGTAATTTATTCGTATCACGTTAGATTTTTATTCTCGCCCTACCCCACCCAAAGAATTCTGAAGGGTTAGTTGGAACAAGGCACCATTTAAGGAATGTTTGATTCCTGTTTGTTAAATATAGCCTCCTAAATTGAGGACTACAGACAGATCAAAGAGAAAATGCCGTTTAGACAATGGAACAGGAAGCACGATGTCTCAGTTTCAGCCAATCCTGGGCCTACTTCCTTTTCCTTTGAGCCTGGCTAGCCCACTGTGCAAAGCTGTTAACTTCTGACTAAAAACTCTCCGGCAGTGTCCCATCAATGGTGACGATGACAGCTCGGAAACCTGCACCCTAAGGGAGAGAGCCAGGCAAAGGCCTTACAGCCTAGAGACCGGCTTCCCTTCCCCTGCCTTTCAGAAGACTCCATTTCTGACCTGTACCTGGAAGCAGAGACCTTCAGGCAGGTGTGACGCAGGAGGGAATCTGACCTATTGATAAAACTAAAAGATTCCGGTCAATTTATTCAAATAAGCAGTCTCAGAAGGAGAGTGGAGGCCTCTACCAAGATGCAATGCTTGAGCAGTTTTTCACATTCGGAACCCATTGTGGGCAGCAGAGCACACTGGTCGTCTCTGGGCCTTAATTTATCTCATGGAGCATGAGTTCTGATTGTCCCCAGTGACCAGGGTATTTGAAATGTAGAGACAGAAATGTTTGTAAGGAATCTTTGCTGATGGTTGCCGTTTCAGTGTGTGCATTAAAATGAGGTGTGTGGGTCCGTCCTGGAAAGTGCACAAGGTATCGCGTTTTTCTCTCTTACTATGTATGTATATATATGCACATAATCCGCCCAGGGAGAGTGAGCTTTTCTTCTTTCGATTTGCCAACTTTTTTAAACTGCGGGCTTCCCGGGGCAGCTGTCGCTCCGGTGTTCAGCTCATTAAAACTACGGAGAGTTTGAAACGGTTGCAGTCTTTCTGAGCATCCTGTTTTTATAAAGCCAGGGATCCCTCTTTGCTGTAGCCCAGAGGCCATCTGCGAAGCCCACGAACATTTGCATGTAAAAGACACCTTGATCATTTTATTATGCTGAGTGACAGGCCTGGGTTTGAGGAGGCCCTGGCAGAAGCTGGCTGAGCAAGCACCACAGACCTGGTGGGTTGACGGGGAACACAGCAGGAAGTAATACTAATGATTAAAAATCGTTTTTTTTTTTCTTTTTTTCAGAATAGACCTTGTTTAAAATATCATTTAAGAGCGTGACCTCAAAATACAATAAAAAAATGAACAGGCCCTTGAAGGAAAGTATTTTGCCAGAATGTTCCTAGACCCAGGAATTGTGCTCCATTCCTGAGGGCAGAAATTGTTTTTTCTCTTTCTCTTTTATTCTTTTGAGTGATTGAGTTCATAGTGGCAGGAAACCAAACAGCAGAAGAGGGTTCTGTCAACGTTCTGAAGACAATTTATAAGCCACCGGGCGCTGGCGCATGTAATTAAAGCAGTGTGCCCTAACCCAGTGGTGAAGAGGTGGGTGTCCAGATGCCCGCAAGCCCCAGAGTTCTTTAGACAAACAAACTAAAAAAGCCAAGCTTGGAGGAGCACTGAGATTCCAGATGTCTTGTCCTCTGCGATTCGATGGAGACCCTTTCCTGTTTGCTCGCCCCTTGCCGAGAACCAGGCAGATCGTATAATCACATCCATCTTCTGGACGTTTCTGCCACTGGGGAAGGGGACAGCAGGTCTCATCCCAGGCACCCAGCTCTGGTCAAGAGCCAGGTCGAGTTAGAAAAAGGGCCAGCAAGACCGCCCTGAGTGTTGAGGAGGCTGTGCCTGGAGCACTCTTGGGGTGCAGGGTTCGGTGGTGCTGGTGAATCTGGAGTGAGTCAGCGGGCCCTCTGTCATGACAGAAAGGCACCAGTAAGAAAAGTGGGTGACCTGCAAAGTGCCTGCATTTCTACGCATGAAGAAAACAGAGCGTTGGGGGTGGCATAGTGTTTAAAGGTGCTGGATTCCTACATGGCCGACCACGGTTCGAGTCCCGGACGTGGTGACTTGCTTTCTCACTTTCCGTTTCTCCTGGTCAAAATAAATAATAATAATAAATATAATAAATAACTCTTAAAAAGGAAAGAAAAGAGCATGCTCTGCTCCAGTCGGTCTGTGCAGTGAGCGCGTTAGCAGAAGGGTTATCCCGTCTGCAGATGCCACGGGGCAGAAGCCTGGAGTAACGCTGTTTGGGGAGGGGGTTGGTCCTTATAGGAAAGGGGCACAAACTTGCGCCTGTTTGCAGAACTAGCGTCAGACAGACTCTGGAGCAGCTTGTTTATTCAGGGCCGAATTGGTCTTTGTCTTTGTTCTTCTCCTGGTTGTGTGATCTTATGTAGATGTGTAAAGACTATGGCAGCGGGAGGGAGGGAGGTGTCATTTTGCTAAGACTGATAATACCGACAATAAACAACAACAAACAACAACTAGACAGCTGCCCCTGTCCCCTGCCCCCTGTGCGGCACCCGGCCCTGTGAGAGGTGTTCACACAGGTGTCCCACGGTTCGAGTCCCGGACGTGGTGACTTGCTTTCTCACTTTCCGTTTCTCCTGGTCAAAATAAATAATAATAATAAATATAATAAATAACTCTTAAAAAGGAAAGAAAAGAGCATGCTCTGCTCCAGTCGGTCTGTGCAGTGAGCGCGTTAGCAGAAGGGTTATCCCGTCTGCAGATGCCACGGGGCAGAAGCCTGGAGTAACGCTGTTTGGGGAGGGGGTTGGTCCTTATAGGAAAGGGGCACAAACTTGCGCCTGTTTGCAGAACTAGCGTCAGACAGACTCTGGAGCAGCTTGTTTATTCAGGGCCGAATTGGTCTTTGTCTTTGTTCTTCTCCTGGTTGTGTGATCTTATGTAGATGTGTAAAGACTATGGCAGCGGGAGGGAGGGAGGTGTCATTTTGCTAAGACTGATAATACCGACAATAAACAACAACAAACAACAACTAGACAGCTGCCCCTGTCCCCTGCCCCCTGTGCGGCACCCGGCCCTGTGAGAGGTGTTCACACAGGTGTCCCCAGCTCCTTATAAAGTGTCAACTTGCATTTCTCCCTGGGAGAAAGAATTTGAAAAATGCCACAGCAGGAAACGCGCCCCAGAATGTTCTGGTTACAGGACAGGAGAGAGGCTGGAGCCAGTCTGCGAGGGGCATTCAGAACCGGAGACATGAGTGTGTCGCTAATGAACCCTTTAATCACTTCCTGTAAACGTTGAATAACTTCCCTCTTTGTTTTCCTAACACGAAGAATGGTTTATGAGCACCTTGGTAGGAAGTCGTTTAATCCTTACAGTCTTTATTATTATGCCCATCTCAGAGGTGAGGAAACCGAGGACAGGGAGGCAGGGGTCACCAGGGTCACCGGCCGCGAGGTGTGAGGCCGTGCACCTAGGGCGGCCCTCGCTGCGGAGGAAAGCAGGGGCTGGTGCTGCTCGAGTGGGTGGAGGTGCTGGCCGGAGAGCAGAGGGGAGGCCCCGGGAGAGGTGGGTGGAGGGTAGTCCGGAGGCCCCGAGTTCAGCCCAGCTCCTCTGTGCCCCCAGGGAGAGGGACCACCTTGGCCAGAGGCTGCTCTGTAGAGAGAATTTGGACATTAGAGCTGAGGGCTCGAACCTGACCTCAAAACCCAGGGACCAAAGACAAGAGCCTGTGGCCAAGAGACGGACAGCCTGGCCCTCCATTCATCGGGCTGTTCTCCCCGCACCCCTTTCTGAGCCAGCCCAGGGCTGGGTGCCATGCACAGGGACAAATCTGGGGTCAGAAACAGGCCCTGGCCCTGAGGAGCCCTCATGGGGACCTGGGAGGTTGGGGTTGGGGACTTCCATGAGAGAGTGTGTGAGGTGAGGCTGGGAGGACCATAGCCCTCCCTGGTCAGAGGGGGGAAGGGCGTTCCTGCAAGGGGAACAGCATGAGCAAAGGCTCAGAGGCAGGTTGGGGAGGTGCAGCTGCAGGGGGCTGGGGAGGTAGGTCTGGCGCCCTCTGAGGGGGAGTGGGGCTGTTACAGACCAAGGCCAGAATGCGAAGGGCTGTGACATTGGGGCAGGGGCACAGGGACCATGGAAGCTGCAGAGCAGCCTGCCAAGGTCAGGCCCTGTGGGTGCTGTCCAACCTGAGGTCAGGCTGGGACAAGCAGAGGCCGGCATCCAGGGCGGACCAGAGGGGGCCTTTGTGGGTCAAGAGGGCTTGGCTGAGTCCTGAGGAAGGATCTGAAGTCCTCAGGGGATTGTCAGTCGGTCCACACTCACTCAGGGGCGGGAGTGTACCTCCGAGGTCAGTGACTGATGGGGAAACTGGCTTTCTTTCTCTCTGCCGCGGCCATTTATGGCGTCCTGTATGCTGAGCTTCTACCAGGCATGGGGTGATGGTGGTGGATGAGACTGAGGGAGTTCTCATTCCCAAGGAGGCAGCCGAGAAAACAGGGACCGGACGTGGACAGGTCAGGTTCCCCAGGCACAGATTCTGGGAAGGGGTGCTCTGGTGCCTGAGGGCATCCGTAGGGGCCTGACCTCGTCAGGGCATCAGGGAATCCTGACCAGGGGGCTTTTTGGTTTTTGGAGAGGTTTTTGCTATAGGGCGCCTGTGCTCGCCAGAGACACAGAGAGACAGAAAGCAAGAAATCACCCCCCTGGGGATGGCCACGCCATAGTCTCCTCCATTTTCCTCTCGGGATCTTGGGCATGCACGCACACATGCCCAGCATGAGTTTAAGCCACCGGGTCCGGGACTCAAACCATGATCTACTACATGGGAGTCCAACAACATAGCCATTACGCTAACTGCTGGTTCCACCAGGGGGCTTTTATGCAGAGGGTGGCAGTGTGGGTCTTCCCAGCAGAGGGGCAGTGCCTGGTGGAGGGAGCAGCCCTGACGAAGGCCTGAGGTAGGAAGGGCCCGGTGCTGGGGTGCTGGGGTGCTCGGAGGCCACAGGCTGGGCTTGGGGCAGGGGAGGGGTACCTGGAGCAGCAGTGGGAGGGCAGGCTCTGCAGGTGGTCTGCCCTGGGGACCTCTGCCACCTGCTTCTACCCAAACGAGTTCCCCAGTCCTGGAGGGAGTTCTGGCGTGGGGCAGAGGTGGTCCGGATGATACTCAGTCCCCCCCATTGTAGAGGCAGGTTGCCGTGGCCTGGGTGCCGTCCCCATGTGTGATGTGCGCAGGTGCAATAGGGTCCCCCTGGGGATGGCCACGCCCTAGTCTCCTCCATTTTCCTCTCGGGATCTTGGGCATGCACGCACACATGCCCAGCATGAGTTTAAGCCACCGGGTCCGGGACTCAAACCATGATCTACTACATGGGAGTCCAACAACATAGCCATTACGCTAACTGCTGGTTCCACCAGGGGGCTTTTATGCAGAGGGTGGCAGTGTGGGTCTTCCCAGCAGAGGGGCAGTGCCTGGTGGAGGGAGCAGCCCTGACGAAGGCCTGAGGTAGGAAGGGCCCGGTGCTGGGGTGCTGGGGTGCTCGGAGGCCACAGGCTGGGCTTGGGGCAGGGGAGGGGTACCTGGAGCAGCAGTGGGAGGGCAGGCTCTGCAGGTGGTCTGCCCTGGGGACCTCTGCCACCTGCTTCTACCCAAACGAGTTCCCCAGTCCTGGAGGGAGTTCTGGCGTGGGGCAGAGGTGGTCCGGATGATACTCAGTCCCCCCCATTGTAGAGGCAGGTTGCCGTGGCCTGGGTGCCGTCCCCATGTGTGATGTGCGCAGGTGCAATAGGGTCAGCCCAGCCCACGTGGGACAGGCCCTGGGCCTGCATCTGGGACTGGGCCCGACCTGCCTTGGGGATCCCCCATCTTGTAGAGGACCATGTGGGCAGCCCTGAGAATCCAGGGGTCCACTTGCGAGGAGGCTCTGCAGGGGCCCCCAGGGAGGGGCTCCTACAGAGCCCCCTCTTTGGGGTTCACGAATAATGCCCTGGGGAGCATAGGTGGGAGCTCGGAGGGTGTCGGAGAGGGCGGGCTCCCCAGCCACACCCCTCTTCCTGCTCCCTGTGAGGGAGGCGGCCTGCCAGGCAAGGCGGGCAGGCCCTCAGCTGGAGGTTGGAGAGTGGCCTCCTGGGTGGCCGGAGAAGCAGCAGACACAGGACGTAGGGCACCTAAGAGCTGGACCTCCGAGGAAGGCCCTGCACCACACACTGAGGAGTTTGGATGCCGTCTGTGTTTACACTGGTAGCCGGTGTCAGGGCTCACGGGTGGCAGGGACTGCGCCCACGTCCATCTGGGCCTGCCGACGGGCCTTAGTGTCTCCATCGAGTTTGCTGGAACCCAGTCAGCGAGATGGGCTGGGGCCGGAGGGGAGGAGTGGACACCGTCTGGCTGAGCTGGGACCCTCCCTCTGCCTTGCTCCCATTGGCAAGCCAGGCAGAGAGGTTCAGCCAGGGGCATTCACTGCCCACCCACTTGACACGGAGCATCAGCCAGAACAGATGCTTCAGACAAGCCCAGGGGCCAGCACGGAGGCCACGGGCCGCAGAGACGGCCGCCCCGAGCTCTGCCGCAGGCGTCATCCTGCACGCCGCCCACCAGGAGTGGTTTCTCTGCCACTCTCTGATGTCCAGGGACCTGCGGGGGCCTGGCATGCAGGTGCCCGGTGTAGTAACCGCTGGGTAGATAACCATAATCCTGGCAGGCGCGTCTTGGACGCTGACCGTGCCAGCACTAGGTCCCCCATGCCTGTCTGGTGTGCTCCATGAGCCCGCGAGCAGGGGCTGTACTTAAGGACCACTTGGCAGGTGAGGACACCGAGGCCCGGTGGTTTGCCCAGGGTCACCCACTCTGGTGCCGGCAGAGTCGGGGGCAGCCCAGGGAGAGGTCTCCTCAGGGAAAGAAAAGAGCGTCTGCTCTCGTGGTGGGTGGTCAGCAGGGCAGGATGCAGTCGAAGCAAACCCCTAGGCTCAGCCAGAGGCCGGGCCTCGGAGTGGGTGCTGGGGGACCCTCGGGAAGCAGGAGGCTCCGGTCAGACTGGAAAAGGAGGCTGGAGGAGGGAGGGGGAGCTGTGGCCTTTGAAGTCAGCTCTCGCCTTGGGCTCCCTCTTGGGAGAGCCAGGGTACCAAGGGTTTGGCCCAGGCCAGCCGAGGCCCAGGGCCTGGATCCAGTCTAGGGGACGGGTCAGGGCCCAGGTCAGACCCTCCCCTCACCGGGCTGCCCCTTACAGAATCCACACAGGCGACAGACCCTACAAGTGCCCGCATCCCGGCTGCGAAAAGGCTTTCACCCAGCTCTCCAACCTCCAGGTGAGTGCCTGCCCGCCTCGCCTCACCCCTGTGCAGCCGCCTCCCCTCCACGGAGCCGGAGGAGGGGTGGGGCTGGGGAGCCCCGTCTCCTGACCCTCTGTGCTCTCTGCAGTCTCACCAGCGCCAGCACAACAAGGACAAGCCCTACAAGTGTCCCAACTGCTACCGGGCCTACTCGGACTCGGCCTCGCTGCAGATCCACCTCTCGGCGCACGCCATCAAGCACGCCAAGGCCTACTGCTGCAGCATGTGTGGGCGGGCCTACACCTCGGTGAGTGCCCTCCCCGCTCCCCAGGAGGGGACGTGACCCCAGCTCAGAAGCCAGGGCTGCTGCTTCCCACTTATTTTGGGCTGCCCGGCCGAGCTCCCAGCCTCCTGCCTGCCCTCAGCCTGGGCTCCTGGGCCTGGCCCCCTGCCCTCCTGCCTTCCTGAGCTAGGGAAGCTGCAACCCCTAGCATGGCCACAAGGTGGCACAGTGCCTCGGCTTAGCACCACCCTTCTCTCAGGAAGGCCTGAACCACCCCAGGAAGGTCAGTGCATCCAGTCCCCTGTCCCTGGGTGGGAATTTCCCCGATGAGGGCCTTTCAGGGCCCAGGAGTGCCTTTAGGTGCTCGGTGAGTCACTCGTGTCTGTGCTCCTGATTAAATACCCCCGTCTGCAGACCCCGTCCACCCAGCTGAGGCGGCTCTGGCTGGCCGAGCAGTGCTGCTGTGGACGCTCGTGCCAGGCGCTCGGGCACCAGGGCGAGCCTCCCAGGGCGGTTAGAAACCGCTGCCAAGCCAGGTGCGAGACCGGCCGCTGCGGGGAGATGCTTGGTGGCGAGCGTAGTGACTGCTCCACGGCAGACCTCACCCTAGTCTGTAGGGCATGTGGGCAAGCTCCTCCCCGAGCTGTGACAGTCTAAAGTGTCCCCAGACTCTGCCACACGCCCCTCTAGGGACAAAATGGCAGCTCGGGGAGGGCGTCTGAGGGAGCGCCACGGGCATGGCCCCTGGGAGGCCCTTTAGGCAGGCAGGAGAAAGGAGGGAAAGACCTTCCAGGCAGGGCAGCTGTGAGCACAGACTCCCCGAAGTGGGCCAGACCTGGTGTGTGGGGGGGGACTGAAAGAAATTTAGGTCACATGGGCCCTTGGGGCCCTGATGTGGAATTCGGGTATTTTTCCAGGTGGCAGGGGAAGCCAGGGAGGGCACTGTGGCTGGAGGGGCCGTGGGTGGTCGGGGAGGTGGTTGGCAGTGCTTGTCAGTGCCAGCCAGGGCTGCTGCTTGCGGAGTGGGTGACATCTGTCCTTCCCTGGGGCTTAGGGGGCTGAGGAGTTAAGAGATCTCACCCCCTGCACCACCCACTGTCCGGCCTTGCCACGTGCTTATTTCTCAAAGCTAGATGTCATTTTATTTTATTTGTGAGAATTTCAATTGTGTCCCTAAAGATACGGATCCTTTCTGGAACATACCCACAATACCTTATCACACCTAAAAGTAGTGAACCGGAGTCTGGGTTGGCCTCACTCAGTCAGCATTGAACCGGAGTCTGGGTTGGCCTCACTCAGTCAGCATTGAACCGGAGTCTGGGTTGGCCTCACTCGGTCAGCATTGACCCGGAGCCTGGGTTGGCCTCACTCAGTCAGCATTGAATTGGCCTACCTCTGTCAGCAGTGAACCGGAGTCTGGGTTGGCCTCACTCAGTCAGCATTGAACCGGAGTCTGGGTTGGCCTCACTCAGTCAGCATTGAACCGGAGTCTGGGTTGGCCTCACTCGGTCAGCATTCACGCTTTCATTTGCCGCGTGACACCATGATTCTATTTATGTACAGTATCACAGTTTAATTGAGGTTGAAATGAGATTCCTAGTGTTTGAGGGTACACATTTATTTCGGTGAGAAAACAATTGGAAACCCATGCATAGTTTTCTCATAATACTTGGGTCCCACGAACTCTTTTTTTTTTGGAGAGGTTTTTGCTATAGGGCGCGTGCACTCGCCAGACAGACAGAGAGAGACAGAGAGACAGAAAGCGAGAAATCACCCCCAGGGGGGATGGCCACGCCGCAATCCCTTCTCCTCCATTCTCCTCTCGGGATCTTGGGCACGCAAGCACATGCGCCCAGCGTGAGTTTTAAGTCACCGGGTCCAGGACGCAAACTGCAGTCGACTACGTGGGAGTCCAGTGACATAGCCATTACGCTAACTGCTGGTTCCCTCCCACGAGCTCTTGAAGACCCCTATGCGGGTCGGCACGTGTCCAGTCCCCAGGCTCCTCCCCTTTTACTTTCTCCTCACTCCTGGAGAAGTGGCCTCCTAGCCTGGTTTGCCACCTGCTGAGACCTTCGCCAGCTGGCTTCTGGCACAGGAGACCAAGGAGTGGCACCTGGCACGAAGCCCCACCTCTGCTCCTGGCCAAGGCCCACGGTGGCTGCAGTGGTATGGGTCACCGTGTGCAGGTGCCTCAGGTCAGCCTGAACAGAGCCCGTGCTGGGGTCGGGCCTGCCAGCCACCAGGGAGGACCAAGTGAGAGGGTGCAGAGGCCAGGGCTCCCACCACCTCCTGGAATGGCGTGTAGGACAGGACCCCCACCCTGACGGTAGGCTGAGGCTTTGCCACATCACCATAGCAACCCTGCCCCATCGCTGCTTACCAAGGAGGAAACTGAGGCTTGGGGGTGAGCAGGGCTAGGCTCAAACACAAGCTGCCCGCCCAGCTGGCACTGGGAGCTCCAGCCAGGGGCTCAATGGGCAGCCAGCTGGGAAAGCCTGTGTTGGCGGTACGGGTGGGCGCTGCTGAGGCAGGCCTGGTGCCCGTCAGTTCTGCAGCAGCCCTCCCGTGCCCTTGCGGCAGTGCAGTGTCCTGCCGGCCAGTGCCTGGTGCCATCCGACCCCCAAAGCTGCGGCACCCACCGCCAGCGGGCCCTCCTGTCTAGGAGCCCCACCCCTCAGTGCAGTGGCATGCTCTGAACGCTGCCCACCCTGCCCACAGGAGACCTACCTGATGAAGCACATGTCCAAACACACGGTGGTGGAGCACCTGGTGAGCCACCACTCGCCCCAGAGGACGGAGTCCCCCGGAATCCCGGTGCGAATCTCCCTCATCTGAGCCCACCGAGACGCCGCCCCGCCCGGCCCGGCTCACTGGCAGACAGACCCAGGCAGCACCAGCCCCACTTCCTCCGGGGGCCCTCCAGGAACCGCCGAGCTCTCTCGACCTTCCCAACCTTCCGGAAAGCTTGGTCCGCCGAAGCCCTGCCTGGTCCAGCTCTGGGCGGCCAGGCCAACTGCAAGATTCCGGACTGTTTTGGTGGCATCCAAAGACGATCTCAGAGCACTTTGAACCTCGCTGTTGGGTTTTCTTTTTGTTCTCCGCCCTTCACTTGCTTCACTGTTTTTTTTTGTTGTTGTTGTTGTTTGTTTTTAAGTTTGTTTTGGAAATAACGAAAAAGATATTTATTGGCCAGGAAGACGGTGCTGCTAAAAGTGAGAAATGACCAGAATCGGACGGATGGACGCGGAGGGCCAGAGAGCAGCGGGGACCTCTCGGGGCCGCAGGCATGAGGGAAGGCCCAGGCCGGAGTCACTGAACTGCAGAGGGGACCCCAGCTGGGAAGGGGCAGGAGGCAGCCGAGCTAGCTCAAGCCTACGCTGTGCCCTGGGCGCCTTTGTGAGCAGAGGGGAGCGGCAGCCGCCAGGGCTGGCCAAGCCCCAGGAGGCAGGACCCAGAGCAGGGCCGGGAGATCCACAGGACCCACGGGTGCAGCGGCGGGCGCCCCGGGCAATGGGGCGGGGGTGAGCAGGTGAGACCGGGCCGCCCCTGTTTCCCTGAAGACCACCCCAGTCTACCTCGGTGCTGGCAGGAAACCTATCGGCTACCTCTCCCACCACCCCAGACTGGGCAGGGGCTGGGGAGGGAGTGGGCCTGGGGCTAGGACCCGCCTCCAGAATCCCTCCAGGTGGAGGCTGTGCCCAGGGAGGGGCTGTTTGTCTTCCCCACCATGGACAGGAACCCCAGCCCAGGCCCTAGGCCCCTCGGCAGGGAAGGGGTCCTGGGGAGGAGGATCCGGGGGCAGACCCTGCCCCCAGCCCCCACAGACACACCCCAATCTGAAAGCCATGCGTGTCCGTGTATATAGGAACCATGTACAGAGCCCGGAGAAGCCCCCCACGTCCCCCCGGGAAAAAAAAAAGAAAAGACTAGACAGAAACTCATCTATATATTCTGTATCTGGAGTTCCGTTTTGAATATTAACTGTGTTATTTTTATACACTTTTTAAGCCTTAACTCGCCATTGATTTTCCAGTTTAACGTTTCCTGGGGTTTCTTTACCCACGGGGTTCTCGGCCCCACCCCCACCCCTTTGTTTGCCGTCGTCGGATACTCAGTATTGTAGCTTTTGGTCCGCATGTTACTGCCCTGTAAATACGCTGTTACACATACTGTTAACACCCCTTTGCTTTTTTCTATGGGACCTCCAGGCCACCGTATTTAGAACTAGTTACCTTATTAAAAAAGAGAAAACTGTCTTTGGCTTCTCAGTCTGCATCATGGTGGCAGGGAGGTGAGGGCAGGTGTCCCTCAGACACTTCAGGAAGGAAATCTGCATTCTACTAGGAAGGGGGTGGGGAGCAAAAGGAAAACCGAATGTGGGGGATACACTGAAGGGGGCGCGAGACCTGGACGTCGAGCCCCTCTGTATTTCTCTGTTGTGAAGAATAAACTGCCTGCCCCCGGGCGGCCGTGCTGTGTGGCCTGCTCTGTGCGCAGGGGCTGGGCGCCTCCCCGCTGCTCCCCTCCGCGCCCAGCCCTGGAGAGGGATGGCTGCTGCTGCGGCTGGTCCCCCTGCCGGCCTGGCAACAGCCCTGCGTGGCGCGGGCGGAGCCGCAGCGGGTGGCAGGAGGTCCGGCCGGTCGGAAGGCTTCCTCCGTGTGCTGGGCCCACAGTGAGTGCCCCTTTCCCCCAGCCCATCACTAGCTCGCGGGAGCTAGTCCAGTGATTGCTGGGGCCCAAGAAGTCCCCGTGACATACGTGTTTCCCCGTGGGGGTCGACGTTCTGATCGTCCGGGAGGGAAAGGCGGGCGTTAATTCCGCCCAGGTTCGCCAGGCAGCGTCCTGGAGGAGAAGCAGCAGCTCTGCCG